GGGTTTTCAAGCCAAGAGAAAACTGTGAGCCTGAAGAAAGAGCCTCGGCTTTCACTGGGCATCACCATAGCTGGGGGGAGGACTGTCGCAGCCGCTTGCCCGTTTACATCACAAGCGTGCAACCAGTCGGCTGTCTGCACCGGGACGGCACTATCAAAAAAGGTATGAAGCAGAATCTGGTGACCTCTGATTTTGACTTTGAATAAGGCATTTTTCCTCAAAGCATTAGGCTTTGCAATGTGTTGCTCCATCAGCAACTAATGATTATTTTCAGTATAAGTTGATACATAAAAAGTATTCTGCTAACAACATTTTCTGAGGTGATTTTTTTGTGGTTGCTTTAGTCATTGCTCAGTGAAAAAACACAGCTACAGGTAGCATGATTGTTTTAAGATATGGGTCAGGTGTTATCATTCAAACTGTGGAAATCTTTTAAACTGGAATTTGTTTCCCACAAACAGCCCTGTTGTTGAGTCAGCAAATCAATGACAATGTGATCACCAACTTCATAAGAAAAGGGCAATTCTCTTTTGGCTTGTTAAATAGAGAGCATCACTCTTTACAGAATGCGGTTCAAAACAACTCCTTCACAAAGTTCTGCTGTTGTCACGCCTTTGTACTTACACATTGCATCAGTAACAGCGTAATACTGGTGTAATTCACATTGCATTATGGTGTTCCTCTGTTACTTCCTCCGACAGCTTATCCATCTACATAGGTTAACAGAAAATGTAGTTTAGTTGTTACTAAAGAATGTTGATGAAAACCTACTACTTATTGGATAAGAAGGTCCTCATCAGTAAAATGTCTTAGTTTGAAACTCCTCCTGTGTGTCCTCAGGTGACATTCTGCTGAGCATAAATGGTGTTGATCTGACCCAGCTGACCTACAACGAGGCCGTGTCAGTGCTGAAGGCTCAGACAGCTCAGTCCCAGGTGGTGCTCCGTGTCATTCAGACACTCTCTGAGGAATCAGAGGAGGACATGGAGTTTGCCAACAAGGACGAACTAGACCCTCTGGAAGACCCACGGGACGACGCCCTCAACTGGACGCCGCTGTGGACTCGCTGGCTGGGATTACCAAGGTAGAGAGCCTGGTTTGATTCCAGAAATCACCTGAATTTTATTGCTCAAATTCAAGTGTTTCATGTTTATTTATTTATTTGTCGTAAATATGCTAATTGTTTTTAAAGCCTATTAAGAATATAAAAAATAAAAAAAAGATCAGAAAAAAATCCAACAGCAGACCGTAGGTTATAGCACCAAAGCTAAAATAATTTTCTAATAATTGGCTTCAACAATACTCTGTTATAGTAGATCTGACATTAAAGGTGGACCTTGGTGCATTTAACAGGATCAAATGTATTTAAGGCAATCACAGGAGTGGACTGGAGCTTCTTTAAGATTTTGAAGGCAAATGTTTCCTGACATAATGATTCCTGTTAGATGTGATGTCAAAGGATAACCTCTGACTTTGTACTTGTCATTTTAGTCACATGCATTGGTGCCGGGACATAGTCCTGCAGAAGACAAACAACGAGAGCTGGGGCTTCAGCATCGTGGGCGGCTATGAGGAGAGCCACGGCCAGCAGCCCTTCTTCATCAAAACCATTGTGCCTGGTACACCTGCTAACTTTGATGGACGCCTGAAGTAAGTACAATTTTACCCCCATATGAAGCAATCAGCTGCTGCATCCTGTCATCTCCCTCACTCTGCAGACTCTTCATTAACACTCTGTGGTTCTCTGCAGGTGCGGTGATGAGATAGTAGCCGTGAACGGAGCTACAACAGTAGGAATGAACAACTCGTCTCTCATCCCCATGCTCAAGCTGCAGAAGAATAAAGTCACACTCACTGTGGTGTCCTGGCCTGGCAGTCTGGTGTAGCGAAACACAAAGGAGTCTACTCACTCTCCCCTTTTTCTATCACATAAACACACACAAACAACCTTTTCTGACTCACTGTCCCCTACACCGCATATGTTTGTAGTTAAGAGCCACGATGGATTGGATCTTCTGTGGACAATCGTAGCAGGTGCCTGTTTGTTTCAGCGTCGCCTCACACACTGAACAGGAGGTGACTGCACAACTTGATGAACAATTCAATCAGGGGCAAAAATGACAATCAATAAATGATATCCTTAGGATGAACTGGAAGGATATATTTTTTATGGAACACCTTTATGATCCTTTTGTTTATACCAGTGTTTTGCCTTCATGTCAAATAATCCTGTTATCATTTGGTATTGTGGCTTGATTCAAGTGATTCAAGTGATTCACTCTCTCACAGTAAACGGCATCCACAGATGAAATGTAGCGCTTACAATAGCTGTGATGAAGAAACATAGATGGGTGCATTTCAAAGTACGGCTGTGTAGACTGATTCCAACAACAGAAAAAAATCATCCTGTCCTGCAACTTTTGTCCCCTCTCGACTGATTTCATCAAATTTATTGACATTACACCTTTTTATAACTTTCAACAGAACGATACAGCTTTGATGGAAATACAGAAATCTTTAGTGAAGGTGTTTTTGTTTTTCAGCTACAACCGTGTTGTAAAAGGAGGAATTTTGTTATGACACTAAGGTTATCAAAAAAGCTAAAGTGAAGACCTACCGTAAACTTTAATCGAGGTGTGTGAGGTTCAGTTGTATCCAAGCCATGAAAGTAATCAGTTAAATTCTACATACTCATTCACTTCAAAGACATTTTAACATATTTGCTTTGGTAGGACACAGCTTCGGTGTTAGGTTTCTTTCCTGTTAGCTTTTATTAAAGACAAACACTGCTGCAGGAAAGCAAGCTTGGACATCGAAATGTTTCAAACTGAGCTGGAATAAAGAAGTCAATAATTGCAATGCATTGAAATTTTAAATCTTTCGAGCAGCTTTAGATTTTTTTTAATCACCACAACTTTTGAACCAGTGATCTGTATTTATTTCTAATGACATAGTGAGTCATACATAGACTATTTTAGGCGGGTGCCCTGTAGATATTGAAGGACAAACCAGAACGTACACTTGTCTTATATTACCACTGTACCAACATGTTTCCCCTTTTTGTTTCCCCTCATGACATGCTGTTATTAGTTCAAAGGAGAACGGCCTTTATCTGATTCATTTGTGTTAACTCATTCTCTTCTGTTAACACATTCCCAGTGGCCTTTCTTATATCATAATAGATACAAGATTTATTGGAATATATACAGAAAGTAAATAGTACATGTATAAGCTGTCCACTGATTCATTATGTACAATAAAATCATATAACAGATCATGGTAGTCTTTGATTGTTGTTATTATTATACAGAAGCTTCTAACTAAATGATGGAGACATCACTTAGAGAGGTATGTTAGCTGAGAAAGGAAGTGGTTCACTGCGGCTGACATTTAAATAATGTAAATGTTAGAGAGCTTCTCACGCCTGTTTGTTCTGATCTTGTAATGACATCAGGACATCTTTGAGCTTGACAGTCTGTGAAAATCACTTTGTCATTGAGCATGAGTGTAAAAAGACTGAAGTCATTAACCGTGTTATGAAGTGTCCAATAAACTGTGCAGTGTGTTCATGGCTCAGTCTGACCCCTAGTGGACAGAAGCTGTGTAAAACAGAGCTGTGATCCAGCTGTGTTTGCTTATCTTTGGCACAAATTGACCCTTTTGAAAACACTAAAAACATTCTTAACAAAATGAGATATTTGCCTTTAGCAGTCCTTATTACAGACAAATCAAAGAGAACAATGTGTTTTTACAAAGGCTTTGTACCATCAGGGTACACAAGGGATCTGCTCAGGATTAGTGTACACTTAAGTTTCTGAATGGCGGCTTTACACTCATTAAAAGTTTTCCTTCTTTAATATCTTATATGCACACATGTATGTTTGTCCAGTAAAACTTTCTACAAAAAAAAAAATCTTATGCAGGTCCCCTCAATGTCATGTGAATAATGTAATGTCACTGACAAAGAAGTTCTGAAGTCATTAGAGATTAAAGGCAGTACAACAGTGTATCAATGCGATGCTACAAGACATGAATGTCCTGTATTCAACTTGAGTAAAAGAACCAAAGTCTCACCACCACAATGTACCAGAAGTACCTGTTACAAGAAGGAAGAACTAAAACATTTATTTTGCCATTTTTAATGAAACTAGACTTTAAATGCTGCAGGTACAAGGTCAATTTAACACGGACCATTTTTTTCAGAATATAAATGATGTTACTTGCTTTGTCAAATTTTACAAGAAAACTCTTCAAACATTGCGCCAAGAGACCCTGTGTTCACAAATGTATCAAAAAGTAGTTCCTTTTATCATTTCTAGATGTTTTTGGTTAAATCATGTTTTTTTGCAGAATAGTCAGCTTCCAATGTCATCATTTATTTTTGCTATTTTCAGTTAGTCCATGTGTACTGTTTCTGTCCCTATCGATTTAACCATAAATAAATTAATGAGATATATTAGTAATTAAAATTAAACCTGTCTGGCTATTCCTTGTGAATACAGCAAAGTATTACGAGTACCCACTTCCATCATTCTGTTTCAGTTTGAATAAAACAAGGAGTGTCAGCAACTTCAGTTTAAACTATTGGATCTCTGCTGCACTAAACTGAAGCCTTCTGTCTCAACAGGGACAGACTGTGAATGTGAAAACAAAAAAACAAAGAACCATAAAACCATCCACAGGGCGGTGAAGCCTACCACCTCAGTGATCGGGGGTTGTGCTGCAGAGTTACAGTACAACCTTGGTCCAGTTTTCTCTTGGCTGCTCGTCCATGACTTAAGAAAGTAGCAGCAAATTATCTGAACGGCATTCCTGAGTTTTATAAATGTGTCAACTAATTGCACAGTCTTGTTAAAGTTAACGATTCGACACCTTGTTAAACACGACAAATAGTCTCCATTTCTGCAGCAGGCTGTGGACAAGGCTGAGGTGAGTAATGATTCAAACAAGGTTAGGTTAGACTAGGTGTGTCACTAAATAATGAAAAGGAACAAAGTGTGCAGCAGGAAAAAAATTAAATGATCAATTTATTTTCTCCCAATAGGGATGAGGACAAACATTTACAAGAATTGTAACAGGGACAATACTGGGAGGAGGATTTAACCTCTCCTTTGTACAAGGATTTCATCCTGTACTTCTCCGTGATTCACCGATTACTCCAGAGGCACTCTAACACAACGCAATGCAGCAATCTGTTGACAAAGATTCAGGGAAATAATACTAACAGACAATCTGCTCATAATACCCTATGTACTGTTGATTCATGTGCTTCATAACACATCAGGAGGACCAAACACAGCACAGGGAGAGTACAAAACTATAAAAAAAATGAATGCAAGGTTTGGATAAAATGATAAGATAGATAACGACAGTTCTTTTTAATCTTCCAACTGCACATCAGAGATTTATACATCTCCAGTTTGAACAGATGACAGTGATTTCATGTCATCTTTATTGGCAAACATCACATGGAAACATGCACTTCTGTTGTCACTGGATGAATCTTCAGGATCATCGGAGATTCTGACTTTCACTGAAGTGCAATCATCAGTCCTGACTCTGGCATCATGTACATTGTAACTATATGGCTTACAAGGTAAACAGGTCCATATTAACTAGAAAGGTACATAGACATCTTTCATTAATCAAAACTATGGTACAGCAATATATATTGGCAAAAAAAAACTAAAGAGCTAAGTAACTTTATGTAAACAATGGTATACCACTGTACAGCTTATCCTAACATGGTATTTACACGTCAAGTTCTTTTACTAGCTAGTTCCCATGTACAGAGAGGGTCACATGTCAAGAAAACACACAGGGTGAACACGTACACTGTACGCTAGGCAATCTCAACCATCCCATCTACTCGCAAAGAACTGGATTCAAACCCAACAAACAGCATTGAAGCGTACAGACTCGTTGAATTTCTCAATGCCTACGTCCTCCTTTCACACGCAGAGTTCAAAAATCATACATAAGGCAAGGATTAGTTAAGGAAGGTGGAGGCATCACATTCTTTGCAAGGGATAACTGAACTAACAGATGGGATACAGGTCGATGGTTCTTTGGGGTAAATGCACTTTTTCGAGAGTTTCACTTGTTTGCCACATGTAACAAAAAAAACACATCCAAGTGCAACGAAGGGGACATGTTGAGTTCTGTCGGGAAAATGTGCAAAATCTGCTCTAAAGCAAAGTGACACTGTCGCAAATTCTAATGTACAAGAAATTGGGAGATGTAAGGGGGGGTCATCACAACAGACACCAGTGCAGACCCTTATTCCGACATACTTTATATACAAGGCACTAAGGAGAAGATTCAAGGGCCACACATTCATTCTCTAACAGCCTCCTCAGTCCGGTCTGAATATAGGATATTTGGGTAAGAATTCTATAAGAATCACCTGCAGAGAGAAAAACAAGACAATTATTTTTAGAACAACTTAGCATTAATTCACAACATTTCCTCGTGATGTTGATGGGAAACAAAAATGTGCTGTAACACTGCTGCAAATGTTAGTGAAATATGTTATTTTCTATACATTGATACAGTGTTGCTTTTTCAGTATTTTGTCTCTTGTGAATATAAAATAAATTTGCAACAGTTAGCCAAACTAATTATGTTATCAATGACTGTACATAAAGAATCAAACGTTTTGCATGAACTGAATTGCAAAGTGCTGTGTTCAAAGTGGATTAATGTGGGGTCTCTGTCAATAAAACAATGAAGATAACGGTCCAGAGCTGCTCTTTTTGTAAAGTGTCTTGAGATAACATTCGTCATGAATTGTCATGAATGCTATACAAATAAAGTTTGATTGATGGATTAAATGTATCTGGCAAGTTGCACAATCGTTGACTCTGAATATATCAGTCCATTTTTTTATTTAAAGCGTATCTTATTTGCTGTATCCAAACTGTTCAATCTTGCACTATAATATCTGCTCGCAGTGATTTAAGTGTTACTGAACGTTTTGATGGTTGTGATTTGACACTTTGGGTTATAGTGAGGAAAAGATTGTTGGGAAATGGAAGAAGTAATATTTAGATTTAGTCTGAAGATGACAGAGTTTGATGAGGTCATGTTATATCGTAATATACGTTTTCTGTTAGTTTGTTGATCCAGTGATTCTTCTTCTGGTCCAAGAAGGTCCAAGAAGGGAAATCTAGTAAAACATTTGACACTAGTGTTAGGTTGAATCTATCAACTCTAACTTTGTTTACCAAATCATTCATATGAATGATGGCCCATTATTATGAACATGTTTTGATAATGGAATAATTGTTTCAGCCATATAGCTGCTGGCTCCAGCTTCTCGGATGTAAGCATTTATTGCCTTTTTCATATCTTTACTTCATTAATAATTTATTGACTCATCAGGAACATGGTTTGCTGATTAACAGCTGATGGAAATAATCACTGTGTATGAACGTAACAGCATACTTACATATTCCATCATATTACTGCTTTCACATTTTCTTTTACTTAGTTTCCAGTGCAGGCCCAACTGATGAGAAGAAAAGACACAGACACAATGAATTCTATCTCTCTCACTCTCAAACAGACACAAAGACACACACACACACACAAACATACACACACAAAGGAAAATCTGTCTGAAATCTCCCCTTTAGTGTCGGGGGAATTTGGGAGCAGGGCTGTCTGGTCTCGCTGGGGTCAAACCGTGGCCAGACACCCTGAAGAGCTTCCTTTATGTCTTTGTACAGCTACTAACAGCTATTTGTTGCTGTGAGACAAAACAAAATTAACACGGCATTTTACTGCTGACCTCACGGTCTTCTAAAACACTCTGTAGAAGATCTAAGACAGAACCTGTGCATCAGATCTGACTCAGAGGGACTCTGAGGGACTCGTGTGAAGGGTTTAACAGTTTAGAAAACGGATAAATGGATCACGGTCATCCTGAGCTTGCTGCACACTGACACAGACAAATAAGAACAGCAGCATACAGGTGCTAATTTCCTACCTTGTGGTATAATCGGTTATTTTCCCACTCTAACAGCTTGTGAATGGAACGTCTCGTCTGTTGAAATAGAAAACAAACACATTATCATTAAAGCAAGCAGCATAATACTTATTGCTCAGTTTAACACTTTAACAGGTATCAGTAAACAGCCCCCGTGTTAGGATTTATGGACTGGACTACCAATTTACCAGCTTGTAATTTCCACTTTGTTGCCATTAATTCTGAGTGGTAACCCCACCTTTAAATGACGCACCCTTGAGCTGAGCAGGAGAGGAGCTGAGCAGCGCAATGCATCACTTCTACACAGAGCCACTAATTGAACACGAGTTATTACCCTCTGCTCTGTGAGCAATGCAGCTGAATTGCTATAACAGCCCCTGAGTAATCAGCGGCTGATGTAAGGGAGAGTTAAACTGTCCGACCAGTGTCACAGGAGGTCTGTGGGACTTACTCTCTTGTTTAGGCAGATAACTGGCCACAGACTGCAGCCTACTGTACAGCAACAACACAGGCAGCCGCAGAGAAGCCACTTCACATTCACTGGCAAGTTCTTCTTCAGACAGGCATTCACCCTGCTGATGCTGGTTTTGAATTCCTCAGGCGCAACCTAGGGAAAAAGATATTATGGTTGGTTTAACAAAATAAACAGCATCAGAGGGAGGATCAGAATACTGAGTATTGACCAAACTGGAGCGGGGGGGGGGGGGGTACAGTGTTTCTAGGTGGTACTGACATGAAAGATTCCTAATTACTCCACAGAAAACCTGAGTACACAGATCAAAGAGCTTTAGAAAACCAACAAGTAGATATTTGAAGATGTTGTCCAGAGATGAGATGAGATCTCTTAATACTCTGCCTCTGACTTGCTAACCGAGCTCTAGACTGTTCAAGGCAAGGAGGGACTCAAAGGAGAGATAAGCTCAGTGCCTGTGGCAGCGCCGGCCAAACAACTTGAATAGATGCTCATTCCTCTCTGAGTCTGTACGCCATAAAACAGGGGTCGTAATCTTTTATGACAGGATGCAAAGGTCTCTTTGCAAACAGCAAAAGACCTTAGAATAAAGCCCAGCAGGGCCTGATCTGCACCCTTCAATCATCATAATTGTGACCTCATCCATCACGTGTCACCCTGGGTCACAATACTGAAGGTACATTTTATTGCCCCACACTTCCCTCGGCCTGCTCTTACCCCTACAGGCTTTTTGTGTTTCTGCGTCCGACCCAGGAAGCTTTCCTTTCTTGTCTATGGCACAGTCTTCATTTCATTATTTTATCACCTAGAGCTGGACCCTCCAAAGCACTGGGGTCCCTGCCAACTGAGCCCCATAGACGGCTTACTCATTTACAGAGCTGGACAGCAGCACATTCAGGCTCTTTTCTCTGCACTGTGCTACATTAGTTGAAATGCATCCCAGTCAGATCAAAACCTATGGAGAGGTTTTTCTGAATGGGCTGGTGTGGGGAAGTCAGGGCTGTTAAAGGCCCCAAAAAGAAACAATAGAATCACTGGCTTTAATTGCTTAATTCTTCCCACTTGGAATTGAACAGAAAGCTAAACTGAAGTGCAAGAAACTAAAAAGCAACTGTACCTTTCCCGTGAGAACAGAGGGGAATTCTGTGTCAAATCTGTTGCTCAGTCCAAACCTGAAAAAAGCAACAACAACAAAAGGAGAAAGTGATCTTTGATATGATTATCGAAAAATACCTCAAACTTTTTACAAGATCAGATGAGCATGATGAGGACCAGAAAAAAAGTCCACACCTTGGCAGAAATCTTACATTTCACATTGAAACATGCTTCTTTCACTTCACATAGTTTTGTTTAATTAAAATAATGAGAAAGGAAATTAAAATAACATACGAGTAAAGCAACCAGAAAATAATTAAATGAAATGAGAAACACATTGAAACTAGTAAGATTAAAAATACACTAATCAGCTTTTCAAAATCTGGACTTTTTTTTTCTCTGTGATTCATACATGCATGCAGCATCATCACTTACAATAACAAAATACCTTTTATCCAACTTCACAAATGAAACATGGTTTGTTGTTAGAGCTTAAGCCTTATACATAGACACCCATGTTAACCGACTCATCTTTACCATTGAGGATGAAAAGTTTTGCAGCATAATAAATAAGTAAAAGATACAAAATGTAGCTAGGCTGTTTGACTAGAGATATAACGATTCCCATGATTCCCAATCAGGGGGAACAAAAATGACTGCATCATGTTTATCACAAACAACAAAACATTACATTTTACTAAACACATGTGTAATGTTTGATACATCTTAAGATGTACAGTATGCAGAACAGAGCATCACTGTGACACTTTGATCCCTTAACATAATGCTGATTTGTAACAGATTTGTTCTCTTTGTGTGGTTATATTTTGATGTTAGAGGCACTCCTTTATAACACTGTAACATTGTAACACTGTAACATTGTAACAGTGTTACAGTGTCACACTGTCACACTGTCACACTGTAACATTGTAACATTGTAACATTGTAACACTGTCACACTGTCACACTGTAACATTGTAACACTGTAACATTGTAACAGTGTTACAATGTTACAGTGTCACACTGTCACACTGTCACACTGTAACATTGTAACATTGTAACATTGTAACACTGTCACACTGTCACACTGTAACACTGTCACACTGTAACACTGTAACATTGTAACACTGTCACACTGTCACACTGTAACATTGTAACACTGTAACATTGTCACACTGTAACATTGTAACACTGTCACACTGTAACACTGTAACATTGTAACACTGTAACACTGTAACATTGTAACACTGTAACATTGTAAACAAGACTAGACTGATGTTGATGTATTAGTATGCTCGGTTATAACATAAAGCTACAGATTTCTAACTAACAGTACTTAACTACCGATGAATATTGGTGGCAAATCTATCATACTTATCATTAACATGGGAACAAGCAGTTCTCGTTCGTTGATATATAAATTGTGATTGTCACTGGACTAACTGCTAGCAGGTTAGCACCAGCTAAACAAGCTGAAGGAAACAAAACAACACAGACAGACGGAGCGACAGACGCGGCTCAGCTTACACTGTGATGTGGCCTGCCCCTCGCATGACCACGGGCTCCGGACAGTATCTGGGCAAGTGCTCATCGTTTACTACGTGCTCATCGTCTTCGTCTTCCAACTCATAAATGGTATCAAAGTCCGCCATGTTGGGTATTGAGACGCTGATGACGTTTCCTACGGGGCTGCGCGTGGACGCGTGAGCGGGCGCGCGACTTTGGAGCGATAAATCGCCGCTGCGTGCAGACGAACCCTGCAGCGCTTCAATGTGTTATTAAACCTTCATAAGCCAGATATGACGAAAGCTATGTTAAAAATAGACAGTATTTTAATAATGTCTGATATTGTTGGGTGCAGTTTGCTTCAGGGATAATTAACTTATTTTGACCAGATATGGGTCAAAGTCAGGAAAGGCATCCTCCCAAAAAAACAAGTCAAGCCTCAAGACAATTAACATGTCACTTCCTTTAGGCCTGTTTATACATGAGCCTTTGAACATGCATCACTTCTTCTGCTGAAACTGACTTTTGTGATCCAAGTGTAAAATGTATAGAACAATAAGGAATAGGCCTATTAGATTCTCTCTGACATTTAATGCAATAAGAGCAACTGATGGAAATAGTGAATGTCCACAAAGGTGTTCCAATTAGCATCAGGTGGTCTAAATCGAGCATGAAAAATGAACCTTCGCGATTTCAGAGTTATTTTAGAAATTGCAAGTTGTGAGGCAAATTCAGGGATACCTGACTATTTGCAACAAATTTGTTTTAAGCTACAAGATAACTCAATGTAATCATTCTCAGGCTGTGTAAGTGAGACCTGCCAGTTTCTGCAACCTTGTAAAAGTGTACTGAATCCACGTAGTCCATGCATTGATGAATCCTAGATCCACTTTGGAAAGTTCCAACGAATCGATACAGATCAAACGTTTTGCAATACGTTTAGGGGATACAGGTGTAAAAGGTTTGAGGTAGTCAGATCTGGGTTTGCAACTACTGAATACCAGTATTGGCCTATAATGTGAAACACATTTCGAATAGGCCTTTACTTGACCAAATGGGGTTCAAGAAATAAATAAACAACAGTTGTTCTGCAAAAAACAAACTTTTTATTTACATTTAGAGTTGCCATCAAACGACATTTGTACCCGTATCATTAACAGCTGTTCACTGTTCTTAGGCGACCAAAGAGGTAACATTGTGCAGACAAATGAGTGAATGATTTGTCAAGTAAAAGCAGTTTGTCCCGAGTGGCAGGATAGACATACAGCTACTTAAGAACTTCATAATAATGTCCCTGAATTCTCATTTTATTCACATACACTTCATCGCATACAAAAATGATATTTATATCTTATTAACTCACAAACAATTTAAAGCTTTAAGTTTGAAACACGTCGATATTTTCATTTTAAATCCCACGTTATTAGAACTATTCTATAAAAAAAAGCAATATTTGAAGAGCCTCCAGCATTTTGTTGCTATAAATCATAAGTTCATCCACAGCTGTGTGCGTCATGACGTCAGTTCAGGTGTCCTGTCCGCCTGTCGGAGTGCTCATTTTTGTGAGGTGGTCCACAGGGTGCATGTTTCACTGAGTCACTGTCACCTGCTGTATATTCCTGATAGATGGCAACGTGTTCATGCCCTGAGGAGGGTACAGAGAGCCATGGATGTCTGAGGGAGAAAGAGAGCCCTGCACCGGCAGAGGGCTCACTGAGCCGGGGTCACTATGCACCGAGCCCCCGCTGCCGTCGGACTGACCCAGCTTCTTCTTGATCATCTTCCGCTCTTTAGCCCTGCGGTTCTGGAACCAGATCTTCACCTGGAAAAGTACAAATAAGCAAATTGTGAGGAAATTTAGATTTTTGAATTAATTATCATTTTAAAAGTAAACTCATGCAAATAGTAAGATTTATATATTCCCAAACCCCAAAAGAGAACTTAACTGCATACTTTAATATTCATGAATGTTTATATTCTAATCATTTTAAAATAGCCTATTAATCGGCCTGAATGTAGCCTAGTATATGAAAATATATAAAGAAAAGGCAGTAGAACTAAATGGCTAGATAATAACAATGACTCTAAAATGTGTATATATATTCATAGATTTCATACTTTCTTTTTGGAATTAAGTTTGGAGTCTAATCTGTGTACCACTTTTTCTAAAATGAATTAAATGAAATGGCAATTTGTACAATGATAAGACCTTATAAAATAATAAATAGTAATAATAATAGGAATCATAGAATGAATTAATACCCATTCATATTTATTGTTTCTGTAATTTAAATGTATATTAAAATCATATATGATTTACACCATTAAAAACACATTTAGAAAAAGCATTTAATATTTAAAATGGACTACTTTAGTTCTGCAGGTGAAAACCAGGCCTGTAATTGATCTGTTTAGTTTCAATGCTCAAGCACAGCAGATGCTATACCCTTGTGCTGAAATGATTTATAGCATGAAATTAAACCATTCTGATTGGACGAACCTGTCTTTCAGAAAGGCCGAGGTTAACAGCCAGTTCAGATTTCCTCCTGATTGTGATGTATCTGTTGAAATGAAACTCCTTCTCCAGCTCCAGCCTCTGATGATCTGTATAGACTACCCTGTACTTCTCCTTCGTCCTGGTTTTACCTGTAAAGGTGACGAGAAGCAGAACACAAAGCATAAAGAGAGAGTTGTTGTTTTTACATTCAGTCTTTCAAAGTGAAGATTTGTGCACGGGAGGCTGCATGCCAGGACCAGCTCATATCTGCACTCAGCATCTTTATTGGCTGCTTGTTAAACTGACATATCTTTTCATCGTGTGCTGATACGCAAATTGAGTTTTTTTTTCTTGCTTTGATGAAGACTGCAGTTTAGTGAAGATTTTCAAGCAGCCAGAGATTAGATTCAAAACTGACAAGTAAAAAAGGTAGATAAGAAAACCTTTAGTAGAAAAACAGTTCTTAACAGGAATAAAAGTCCTTCAGACAGCATGAGGATTCTTCAGAAAATGTTGCACCTTTGCTTTTACATTTTACAGTCATGACAAACCGGAGGGTTAACGTTTGACGCGTTCACAGTTTGTGCAAAATTGACGATGACAAATCCACATCTAAAAATAAATATGTTATTGGCATGAATTATCATGCTATGAACTGTCATGTTTTTTTTTTTTTGCAAATAAAACGATTTAGTTTTTTTTGGTACGATTTCTGTATTCTCGGGCTTCATAATAAAAAGCAACGGGCTTGTAAGGGTTTACAGTATGTACTTCTGTACGTTTGAGGCTGTGAAAACCATCACTCTTTCCGGTAATATAACTCTGGGAGAGGAAGAGAGGTTGGTGCATATCAAAGTGAAGAGGTGTTGAAAGCAAAGGCCACCGCCTGGATATGACGGATAACACTGAAAACAGCAAACAATGTGACAGGGAAGTCTTCCTCACATCTCCAGGAATCATGACATTAACATCACAACTGGGCCTGGCGCCGAGGCCTCACACCTTTTTTCTTTTTCCACCACAGAAGAGACAACAGACTGAACTGGTTTCCCAATCGAAAATATGAGTGATTGGAATTATATATGGATTTATTCTTTGTACCAAGAGGCTGCCGTGCATTTATATTATACTAGAATATGTCTAATGATTACTCAAACTCCGTTGACTATTAAATGCTTTAGCCAAATTTAAGAACAGAACAACACTTTTTCTCCACACTTTTGGAATTCTTTTTTCAAACAACCAATGAGGCCATATTGAATAAAATATATTAATTGAAACGAAAGTGTCAGACAATATCAAAAGCCTGCATTGTCCATTTTATCAGAAAAACAAACTCTTCTGTGCGCAAAAACTCTGTTTGTTTTTTGTTGATGAAATGTCTAAAAAAACAGAGAATCCAAAGTGACAATTTTTGCGCAGTGTTTATGGTGATAATGAACTCACCCGTGGAAGATGATTGTGCAGTTTTGCTCATCCACTGGAATGAATTGCGTCTTTCTCTATCAGGAGAAAGTTGTGCAACAGTAACATTCTCGGGCGGCGGCTGTAATACCGCAGAGCCTGGAGGATGCATATGCGAGTACTCTGAGGAGCAGTAGGGAACCTGTGCAGGAGAGGAGTTGTTCATGGTTGTAGGAATAGTATTAGGGGGTCCCAGACTGTATGCACCCCAGTCCTCTCGTGGAGCTCCATACGTAGGTCCCCAGCTTCCCGTAGACTGTGCGTGCGTGTCCATGTTTGGCACATGATGGTATCCGGTAAAGTCGGGGTACTGTGGTGTGGAAACAAAGTTCTGTGGAGGTAGATTGATGCTCGATCTTCTGACTGGCCCCTGGTGATACATGCCGCTTTCTTTATCCAGAAGGTATCCCACATACATGATTTGTACAAAAGCAAAAACAATTTAATATGTTTAAAAAGAAGGGATGGTGTGGCCTATTTCAAGGCGACATCGTAGCCCTGAAGCCGCTAAAAACAATCCTTCTGCTGTTCCTGTAGTCCAAATGGGTTCCCAGTGTGAAATGCGACGTAGTTCCAGTCTGTCTCCTCTCTCACATGATGTGTCTCTGTTGACAAGATGCTAAAGGTATACTAAGGCCTGCTTGACGTCAGTTAACTTCTCAACTCTGGTAAATTTGCATTCAAATGAAAGTGAGCGGTGCAGCCGGCCCAGCTGTTCTCCTTGCGCCCATCCTGTAGCGCGTCATCAGCTGACAGTGGACCTATCCGCGACAGGACATCTCCTCTGAATGAATACATTAACAGCACAGCCTATCAACGTCGCGACCCGGCAATAAACCGAGGCCTTAAACGTAGCGGGCCAAAAAGGCCTGTGCGTAATTACGCGCAGATATATTATATTTTAAAGAACTTGTCAAGACGCATTTAATTTCTACTGACCATTAATTTAGTTTGAACATTCTGCATTATTACAGAGTACTAATGCTAGCTAATAAAATTGGAACAACTCCCAAAGATTAGCACACGTTTATTAATCTTTTGTTTTAAAACCTGTGACTGTGGGAATTCCTCAGTTTCCATCCACGCTTCACGCCTGGTTCCTTTTTATTTGTTAAGATATTCACTTGCAAACGAGGTGCAAAGTATGAGAGACTTTTCCTCTCTCTTGAAACAAGCCGAACCTTTCGTATTCCGTGTTCACACCTCAAGGTCGCACTTCACAGCTAATTCCGGTTACAAGGAAACTCCAACAACCCCCCCTGACAAACAGCGTCCCCCTGAAACTGAAATACAGCGGGTTTGTTTTTCTCTGATCCTGTCCAATACGTGTCATGAGCCTCAGGGAAATTATTACTTACTAATAACTAACAGAAATCGAAAAAAAATAAATCAAAAAGGGCCACATTGACACATTCACTCAGCCATGTTGACATCTGAATGGTGTAAATTACTCGCTGCGAAAATGAACTGGAAACTTAAAACATTTGATTAAAAAAGGAAGAACGAAAACAATACAACTTAAATCTTCAGACAACTTAAAGCAATGCACCTTTTCTCAAAAACTCTGAACAAGGTAGTCTGACCTTTAGGCCTTTGTGCCCCTGTAAACATCTCCACGTCTATTATCTTAATTATGATAACAGATAACTTCTGATTCTAAGTAATTTCTAGTTATTACTCGATCAATTAAGCATGTGTCTGAGGTGCTATTTAGCACAGCTGACTAATTGGGTTGTCCAAAAAAGTCCAGCACAAACTCGTAAATATTGATGGATGTCTGAAGCATTTGTTTATGGAGTTGGCCTCTGACAGTCCAGGGACACTCACTTCTCTGATTTAAACATCAATTTAGACCCTGGCTGTCAGTCAGCTGCTGTTTGAAGAAGAAAAGCTATGATGTATCAAATATTTTTGGAGTGTTGAGATGGCACATAGACGTCTCTATCAGAAAAGCTGGAATACATTTCTTCTTCATGGAAGCAACATATGAGCATGTTTCTTCTCGGTGTGATGTTTTTTTTTTACCCTGGCCATAGAGAGAGGTCAGGTCAGGCCTTTCGATAAAACAACATATTTTTTGCATCATATCACTGAGAATAATATGGCTTTAAACTGTGCGTGCTATAACTGAGCTTAAAGTTTCCTGTAAAACTCTTTTTACCAGTCAGTTGTCATCCTTTGTGGACGAGGTTGCATTGTGGGCCTACTGTTTTTGCACCCTGTTCTGTCCTATAGTTTTCATGGTGTGCGAACGGAGGTTTTTTCTTGTTCTTTTCTTTACTCACTGCTGCCCTCTCGTGGGATTTGGCAGAACTACACTAGCTTCAATTTAACCGGTTTCCTTATTTACATCTCTATGTCCACCTGAGGTGAAAAAGAAACTCAGTATATTTACTTAACTTAAGAACACTTGTGAGGTAGGCCTACTTTATTTGAGTATTTTAGTTTTCTCCACTTTACTATTCTGCCCAGCTACATTTCAAAATGACCTTTTCTTTCCCTCTTTTTATCTGATCATTTTAGTGCTACTTACTTTTCAGTTTCATGTTAATGATTCAAATATGAATAAATAAAAATCATAAAATGTGATGGATTACAAAAGACTGTCATATTACAAGCTAACAGCGTGAAGATGACTTCGACCTGTGCTATAGCTGAATCCTGTGACGCATGCACAACAATGTATCAGTCCTTTTATCCCATATAGACATGACTCTGGAATGGGCATGTGTGTATTATGTGTACGTTTACTGTCGCTACTTTACTTTTATTTATCTATTTTTACTCATCGTTTGCACAAAAGACATGCATTGGTCCAACATATAAAATACAAGCTTCACAAGGAAAGAGAGTAGGACTTGTGCTGGTGAGGTCAGAAACCAGAGGAGGGCTCATAATGGACCTCATCAAATAATTACATTTAAATAATAACACAAAGACAATATGGAATAAATAAAGAGGGAAAAAATTGAAATAAATAAAGTGTAAAAAAATATTTTGATGTTTACACTTAACTATAGTAATAAAAACAAAGAGGAAATATTAAAATAGAATAATAACAATGAATAAATAATGTAAAGTAAAGGGGAACATGTTCCACTGTAGTAAATGATAACTTGCTTAAACCTGATTATAGCATGACTGTGAAACATTGGGGTGTTTTCATGAGGCCAACAACTTCTATACATGGAGATAAAGTTCCACAAAAGTTTTCTTTAACAATTAGTATTTTTATATATTTTTTCAACAGGAGCACAGAGAGCATGTCTTTAATTCAGTGTTTACCAGAAAGCTTTCCACTGGAGCAGCATAAAAACAAAAAGAACAAAATGATGAAGACTGTCGTGGGTATTAGTTTGAACATGTACATTTATGGAAAGGATTCACAAACTAGTTAACAGAAACATGTGGCCACAGATAGGTTAGCCACAAGGCCAATTTTACAACATTGTGGGCTAACAATTCATTAATTATTATTACTAATAAAGTATTTCTACTAAGAAGTTATTACAACTCACAAAACTGACCACAAGAGGGCAGCATTCACTCAAGAGAAACATTCAATGCTGTGTACCGTTTTGTATCACATGTCCATACTGGTTGCGTTTTAGATATACTGCAAATAGAAAATCTAAACAACAGTAAATAGTAATAGTAATCAAGAAGTAATCCCACCATCTATCAGGAGACACAGGAGGAAATCACCTCTAAGTTTACAATCCCTTTGTCCACTGTTTAACGTGATACATTGGAAACAGACAACATGAAAGCAGATCTGTCAATCTGTCCCAAGATATTTTTAAATCTGAGAAAACAGTGGTTAGTTTTGCATATCAGCCTATAGAAAAAAAATCATATAAATAATATTTGATCCCTGAGTGCATTTCAAGAAACCTTTCATTGAACTTAATATTCAAATGGAGCCTAAAACTAAAGAGAAACCAAGTTACCATCAGTGACAGATCTGTCTTCATCAGGTGTTGTTTCTTTGTCATTGTGACAATGTGTCGTAAGAATTACAGATTTTTGAACACTACCTGACTGCTTGTCACAGTTGTTACTCACAACTGAGGGACATTTTTGGTTTCACAAGTGTTAAACTCATCTTTTCTCCCAGCCTCATGATATCTTCTCCTGTCACTTTCTCTTCTCTATTTCAGACATTTTTTTTTGTAAAACCATGAAGAGGAACATCATAAGAGGAAGCCTGAGACATCTCTGTAATAACTTCTCATCAAATGACTCTTAAGTTTGAGGAATCACATCCACATGATGTTGTGAACGCATCTGTGATTCAGAAAAGTACATCCATCGTGTCTCATCAGGGTTGCTGTCATAAAGGGAAGGATTCAGATTGAGATTCAGTGTGTGACATCCAAGGTGCAACTTAACCCCCCTACTGATCCCAAATCAAGGTAAGAAAGAAAATGTGTGATTTATTCTAGGGAACATCCTTGTTATCATTTGAACAAGTCTTATAATCTCCAGAGATGCCATTTCTTTAGATACCTCCAAATCAGGGACTTCATCGATAGAAACAACACTTTCCATGCCAATGCCATAAAATCACCAACAGAACAGTTACTGCTTCGGTGTCCAACTAAAAAGTCCATGACTCGTTTTTATGATGTCTTGAGTCAGACTGATGGGTTTAATGTTTCAGCTGCTGCAAAAACATGGCAGGGTAAACTAGGTATAAGTATTGATGACAATAAATGGGATGTGATATGGAATCAACCAAGGAAGATATCAGTTTGTAATCATGCTAGATTGTAGATTGTTACAATTTAAAATCTTGCACTGCTTGCAGATCTCTCCCAGTAAAAGACATAAAATGAACCCCCAGATGTCACCTCTGTGTCTAAAATGTAACATTTCGATAGGGACTTATACTCATGTGTCTGGTTCTGTCCAAAAATTCAAGCGTACTGGGTAGATATCTTAGAAATGGAAAACATTCTGGGTTTGACTTTGTGTATGAATCCTGCGTCTCTACTCCTGGGTCATCCGTGTCAGGATATTATTGTTTGTACTCGCTCCAGCAGACTGTTTGATATCCTCACATATGCTGCTAGGAAGAATGTCTTTGGATCATGGATAAGCGACAAACCGCCCTCAAAGGCAAACTGGCATAAGATTATCATGAAGTGTTTTGACCTGTTTGCTTCACACTACAAAAGGACGATTCATGCTAATATGGACCCCACACCTCCGCTTCTCAAACTCTACTGTGGCTTCCACACTTGCAAGCATTTTGCTTGACTAACTATGGACACTGCTCTCTTTTGGAAAAACAAAAACGAGAAACTATGGATTGTGTTGAACCCATATATGTATGTTTAATTCATGATGGTTGTGCAAACCATTGATTTGCTGAGCCGTTTGTTATTGTTGTTTCTAAAAAACAATAAATTACAA